GTAGAATGTCAGCTGCCAGACATGTCAACATGGTTTACAATGTAGAATGCCAGCTGCCAGTCATGTCACCATGGTCTACAATGTAGAATGTCAGCTGTCAGACATGTCACCATGGTCTACAATGTAGAATGTCAGCTGCTGGACATGTCACCATGGTCTACAATGTAGAATGTCAGCTGTCAGACATGTCACCATGGTCTACAATGTAGAATTTCAGCTGTCAGACATGACACCATAGTCTACAATGTAGAATGTCAGCTGCCAGACATGTCACCAAGGTCTACAATGTAGAATGTCAGCTGTCCGACATGTCACCATGGTCTACAATGTAGAATGTCAGCTGCCAGACATGTCACCATGGTCTACAATGTAGAATGTCAGCTGTCGGACATGTCACCATGGTCTACAATGTAGAATGTCAGCTGTCGGACATGTCACCAAGGTCTACAATGTAGAATGTCAGCTGTCAGACATGTCACCAAGGTCTACAATGTAGAATGTCAGCTGTCAGACATGTCACCATGGTCTACAATGTAGAATGTCAGCTGCCAGACATGTCAACATGGTCTACAATGTAGAATGCCAGCTGCCAGTCATGTCACCATGGTCTACAATGTAGAATGTCAGCTGTCAGACATGTCACCATGGTCTACAATGTAGAATGTCAGCTGCCAGACATGTCACCAAGGTCTACAATGTAGAATGTCAGCTGTCAGACATGTCACCATGGTCTACAATGTAGAATGTCAGCTGCCAGACATGTCACCAAGGTCTACAATGTAGAATGTCAGCTGTCCGACATGTCACCAAGGTCTACAATGTAGAATGTCAGCTGCCAGACATGTCACCAAGGTCTACAATGTAGAATGTCAGCTGCCAGACATGTCACCATAGTCTACAATGTAGAATGTCAGCTGCTGGACACGTCACCATGGTCTACAATGTAGAATTTCAGCTGTCAGACATGACACCATGGTCTACAATGTAGAATGTCAGCTGTCCGACATGTCACCATGGTCTACAATGTAGAATGCCAGCTGCCAGACATGTCAACATGGTCTACAATGTAGAATGCCAGCTGCCAGACATGTCAACATGGTCTACAATGTAGAATGTCAGCTGTCAGACATGTTACCATGGTCTACAATGTAGAATGTCAGCTGCCAGACATGTCACCACAGTCTACAATGTAGAATGTCAGCTGCCAGAAAGTGTCACGACGGTCTACAATGTAGAATGTCAGCTGCCGGACATGTCAACATGGTCTACAATGTAGAATGTCAGCTGCCAGACATGTCACCATGGTCTACAATGTAGAATGTCAGCTGTCAGACATGTCACCATGGTCTACAATGTAGAATGTCAGCTGTCAGACATGTCACCATGGTGTAAAATGTAGAATGTCAGCTGTCAGACATGTCACCATGGTCTACAATGTAGAATGTCAGCTGTCAGACATGTCACCATGGTCTACAATGTAGAATGTCAGATGTCAGACATGTCACCATGGTCTACAATGTAGAATGTCAGCTGCTGGACATGTCACCATGGTCTACAATGTAGAATGTCAGCTGCCAGACATATCACCATGGTCTACAATGTAGAATGTCAGCTGTCAGACATGTCACCAATGTCTACAATGTAGAATGCCAGCTGCTGGACATGTCACCATGGTCTACAATGTAGAATTTCAGCTGTCAGACATGACACCATAGTCTACAATGTAGAATGTCAGCTGTCAGACATGTCACCATGGTCTACAATGTAGAATGTCAGCTGTCAGACATGTCACCATGGTCTACAATGTAGAATGTCAGCTGCCAGACATGTCACCATGGTCTACAATGTAGAATGTCAGCTGCCAGACATGTCACCATGGTCTACAATGTAGAATGTCAGCTGCCAGACATGTCACCATGGTCTACAATGTAGAATGTCAGCTGTCAGACATGTCACCATGGTCTACAATGTAGAATGTCAGCTGCCAGACATGTCACCATGGTCTACAATGTAGAATGTCAGCTGCCGGACATGTCAACATGGTCTACAATGTAGAATGTCAGCTGCCGGACATGTCACCATGGTCTACAATGTAGAATGTCAGCTGTCAGACATGTCACCATGGTCTACAATGTAGAATGTCAGCTGCTGGACATGTCACCATGGTCTACAATGTAGAATGTCAGCTGTCAGACATGTCACCATGGTCTACAATGTAGAATTTCAGCTGTCAGACATGACACCATAGTCTACAATGAAGAATGTCAGCTGCCAGACATGTCACCAAGGTCTACAATGTAGAATGTCAGCTGTCCGACATGTCACCATGGTCTACAATGTAGAATGTCAGCTGCCAGACATGTCACCATGGTCTACAATGTAGAATGTCAGCTGTCAGACATGTCACCAAGGTCTACAATGTAGAAAGCCAGCTGTCAGACATGTCACCATGGTCTACAATGTAGAATGTCAGCTGTCGGACAAGTCACCATGGTCTACAATGTAGAATGTCAGCTGTCGGACATGTCACCATGGTCTACAATGTAGAATGTCATCTGTCGAACATGTCACCAAGGTCTACAATGTAGAATGTCAGCTGTCAGACATGTCACCATGGTCTACAATGTAGAATGTCAGCTGCCAGACATGTCAACATGGTCTACAATGTAGAATGCCAGCTGCCAGTCATGTCACCATGGTCTACAATGTAGAATGTCAGCTGTCAGACAAGTCACCATGGTCTACAATGTAGAATGTCAGCTGCCAGACATGTCACCAAGGTCTACAATGTAGAATGTCAGCTGTCAGACATGTCACCATGGTCTACAATGTAGAATGTCAGCTGCCAGACATGTCACCAAGGTCTACAATGTAGAATGTCAGCTGTCCGACATGTCACCAAGGTCTACAATGTAGAATGTCAGCTGCCAGACATGTCACCAAGGTCTACAATGTAGAATGTCAGCTGCCAGACATGTCACCATAGTCTACAATGTAGAATGTCAGCTGCTGGACACGTCACCATGGTCTACAATGTAGAATTTCAGCTGTCAGACATGACACCATGGTCTACAATGTAGAATGTCAGCTGTCCGACATGTCACCATGGTCTACAATGTAGAATGCCAGCTGCCAGACATGTCAACATGGTCTACAATGTAGAATGCCAGCTGCCAGACATGTCAACATGGTCTACAATGTAGAATGTCAGCTGTCAGACATGTTACCATGGTCTACAATGTAGAATGTCAGCTGCCAGACATGTCACCACAGTCTACAATGTAGAATGTCAGCTGTCAGACATGACACCATAGTCTACAATGTAGAATGTCAGCTGCCGGACATGTCACCATGGTCTACAATGTAGAATGTCAGCTGCCAGACATGTCACCATGGTCTACAATGTAGAATGTCAGCTGTCAGACATGTCACCATGGTCTACAATGTAGAATGTCAGCTGTCATGTAGAAAGTCAGAATCACCATTTATTTAACACCTTATAAAGGACAATAAGAAGGGGGGGGCTGTAAAGGGCAATAAGAAGGGGGGGGGGGGGGGGCTTTAAAAGACAATAAGAAGGGGGGGGGGGGGCTTTAAGGGACAATAAGAAGGGGGGGCTATAAAGGACAATAAGAAAGGGGGGGGGGGCTACAAAGGACAATAAGAAGGGGTGGGGGCTATAAAGGACAATAAGAAGGGGGGGGGGGGCTATAAAGGACAATAAGAAGGGGGGGAGCTATAAAGGACAATAAGAAGGGGGGGGGGCATGTATATTGTAACCCAGAAACAGTTTCACAGAAATGCAAAGAGGAACACAAAAATTAAGAACTAAATACACACGTAGAACCTATTAAGAGGCATTTAAATAATGTGGTCAAGTCTTGGTCAGAAATGACTGAGCTACCATATAACAGTAGCCTGTTTTATGCTCTGACATCCCACATTTTGCCAACAGTTTTGGGTGGAGGAGCACCTTGGGAAGGATACTAGCCTTATCCTAAAAAGTGGAAATGCAACCAGAAAACCTTATATTATAGTAGTGGTAGACCAGACCCTTAGCCGTAGGTGGCAGCTAGTTTAGGAGGGAAGCTCCGACAGGGAACAGATAGAGCACTGCACTTGTGATCCAGCAGCTTCTCCAGCATGCTTTGTTCTAAATTTACTGGTTTTACCTTTCCAATGGTGTTAACAAGGCAGATATGCATGGGCAACTTATGGTCTCTACAATACTGCTCAGGCTTTGTGCTATGGAGAGGAGAACATTCAATACAGATAATTACAGATGGGTAGAAGATATTGACCTCTACTATGATATAAAGATGTTTGCAAGCAGGATATATATGATACAAGTATCGAGGTAGATTTATGAGAACCCAATGCCATGGACCATGTTGCATGGAGGGGACAAATCAGGAAGGGAATGAGAATAAAGGAAGAAATGATTGCAAAAAGCAAGAGAGCTGAGCATCTGAGAAGCGCACACTAAATATATATGATGGAAACGATCCTGAAACGCCATGCTTAGATTATGGAAAACTGTCCTTAACGCAGTCAGGTCTTGCTAGTAACACTTACCATTGCCATGCTTGGATTGTGGAAAACTTTAATTAACACAGGCGGGTCTTGCTAGTAACACTTACCATTGCCATGCTTGGATTGTGGAAAACTTTAATTAACACAGGCGGGTCTTGCTAGTAACACTTACCATTGCCATGCTTGGATTGTGGAAAACTGTCCTTAACGCAGTCAGGTCTTGCTAGTCACACTTACCATTGCCATATGCCATGAGTCCAGTGCCTTCTTATAGCACAATATAACACTATTATCTGGAAAGATGGAAAGGTGTCAACAATGAATGAGCAGATAGAAGGGATTATCCTGTCTTGATCAAGGCCTATGCTCCACTGGAGTATAAAAGGCTGAAGAAGCAGTTCTGTTAAAAAAAAAAAAAAAAAGTCCTGTAGAGAATGAGACATGAGAAAAACTCAAGTCTGACTCACCTCTGACAGAGCCAGCAATATTTGCTTGTTCCACTTTCTCCTGATTGAGTTTTCCTTTGATCAGTTTACTGGTACCAGCTGCAACAGATTCTGATTTGTTCAGTGTGACCATGTCACTAGACATGTCATCAGACGTTTCCTCTCTGTTTAGTTTTGCTGTGTCACTAGACAAATCATTAGATTTTGCGCCAGGAATTAGTGCAGAACTATTCTTCAACATACGAGCCCTGGCTAGAGCAGAAGCCGCCATGGCAGATGATCAAAGGATTTTGCTGCCTCATCTACTGTGGCTACGCGAGAGGAATAAGATTGCTTTTCTGGAGCCGTGAAAGGTCGGCGCAAGATAACAGGACTGGCAGGAATATCAAAGGCAAGGTAGACAGATTCTGACTCCAGCAAGCTGACACTGCTTCGTGCATCATAATCTGCAAACATATACAAACTTTGTAGAACAAAAATACACTTCAAACAAACACAAATATACTAATAAAATGACAATGATGACCTTATATTTACTCTGGGGCAAAAGCTCTTTTTTCAAATCAGCAAAAGCAATGAACAAAACTGATAAAACAATGTTCTTTAACATTTTGCAATAGTAGTATAGTGCAGAACTGATAAGAACTGCGGTTCAGGCCTATGAAGAAACTTACTGGAACAAGCTGGGGCGCAGACGCCAACACTGTACGACAAGTATACACAGGATACATATAACCAAAACTCATTGGAGCATACTCCACTGCAGCCAAATCAAACCTACAAAAACTGGACAAAATACAGAAAGCTGGTCTCAGAATCATCACTAGAGGTATGAGAAGCACACCAATCCATGAGTTGGATGCAACTTCTGGCCTCCAGAGCTTGAGTCTTCGAAGGGAAGAAAGTTGCTTCCCCTAACAGAAACATTTTTACCCATGAAAGACAACCCCATGCACTGAATAGCAAACAACTTAACTAAAAACTGACTGAAAAGTCAAAGCTTTCACCATCTATCAAAACTGTACTACACTAAAAACAGTGACATCCTTTCTAAAGATCCTTCAACATGGGAAATGATCCAGGCATACAACTTAGATCTACAGCCTAACAATATAGTCATAACAGCAATTTCAGGCATAGACAAAAAAACTGAAGAATGTGACCTAGTACATCTTATCTAAAACCCGAATGGACACAAGTATACACTGATGGATCACCGGAGGTAGCAGAAACAAATGAAGGAGCTATTCATGTTCTGCTTAGAAGGCTGCTAGTTGTTCTATTCATGTTCTCCTCTGAAGGCTACCTGTTGTTCTATTCATGTTCTTCTTAGAAGGTTACAGCTGTTCTATTCATGTTTTTCTAAGAAGGCTGCTACCCATCTAAGAAGGCTGCTACCCGTTCTATTCAGGTTCTCCTTAGAAGGCTGCTGTTCTCAAGTTCTCCACAGACGGCTGCTAGTTGCTCTACTCATGTTTCCTAAGCAGACCACTCATTGTCCATTGTTTCAGACTTCTCAACATCTTTAACAACAATGAACACATAAACTATAGCAAGTAACCACAGATAGCAGCTCATCATACCATAGGAGAGATCTTGCAGAGTTAAATCATTGGCATGATATGTATGCAGGCCTGCTCCAGAATGAGACACTGTGCTAACATCTGCAGCTTCTGAAGAATACACACAAATATTCCTTAGTCTGATGTAAATTACCTACATATTTAAGTACTCATTTTGGTTTAATATATATTAACAGTGATGAGAAAATTAAGATAGCTATGTACTGGGCATTTAGTGATTAGTGTTCAGAAAGGATTATCATCACGGCACTCCGGACAGATCCATAGGTGCTCCCATCTCTTCCTCAGTGTAAAAACAACTGATGACGCCTGTTCTGTGTTGGTTAATGAAACGTCTTGTCCCCTCAGTGAAATGTTAATTTCACCCCCATGTCCATCAGTCTAGACAGGGATATGGAGTCATGTCCTTTGGCGTGCTCCTCGGTACGGTAAGTGCAGCGCATGGCATTGATAACATCACTTCTGTCCAGTACCGTGCCTGCCATAGCAACTGCAATGTCAGAAAGACAGTCTGTCCGCTCTTTGCCTTGAACACCTGCATGACCTGGTACAAAAATGAAGGTTAGGTGCTTAGTGTTGCAATCCATTCTTGCCTGATAAATCCAGCTTGGATTTTTTTAAGCATATTCAGCGAGTCACTAAAAAAGCATACGTGTGTGAACTTTTGAGTGCCAAGCCATGCTAAAGCCCTTGTTACAGCCATAGTTTCCATTGTAAGGCTACTAGTTGTAACAGCAAAGGCGCCATTCATCTCCTTGATGGTTTTCCCCCTTGAGCTTACTGTGAAGGCCCATGCACTTCACTTGCCCCTAATTACTGACCCATCTGTGTAAACTACAGCATCACCTTCATCTGTGTTTTTGTCAATCAGTGTTCTGACTAAAGTTTCCACAATGCCAGGAATCTGCTCTCTACAGCTTCCATCAAGTGTACTGGGCATATCAGGAGAAAAAGTGGACTGAGAATGACTAAACAGGCAATACAACTGGAAACAAATGGACTGAGGAAATCAGGTTGTCCAAGAGAAATCCTAAGATGAAAGTTGTTGAGAGAGGCCAACTGTGCTGGACTAGATTCCTTCAGTGATATCATCAAGATTGCACAGGATAGAGTGGTATGGAGGACTAGATTCCTTCAGTGATATCATCAAGACTGCACAGGATAGAGTGGTATGGAGGACTAGATTCCTTCAGTGATATCATCAAGATTGCACAGGATAGAGTGGTATGGAGGACTAGATTCCTTCAGTGATATCATCAAGATTGCACAGGATAGAGTGGTATGGAGGACTAGATTCCTTCAGTGATATCATCAAGATTGCACAGGATAGAGTGGTATGGAGGACTAGATTCCTTCAGTGATATCATCAAGATTGCACAGGATAGAGTGGTATGGAGGACTAGATTCCTTCAGTGATATCATCAAGATTGCACAGGATAGAGTGGTATGGAGGACTAGATTCCTTCAGTGATATCATCAAGATTGCACAGGATAGAGTGGTATGGAGGACTAGATTCCTTCAGTGATATTATCAAGATTGCACAGGATAGAGTGGTATGGAGGACTAGATTCCTTCAGTGATATCATCAAGATTGCACAGGATAGAGTGGTATGGAGGACTAGATTCCTTCAGTGATATCATCAAGATTGCACAGGATAGAGTGGTATGGAGGACTAGATTCCTTCAGTGATATCATCAAGATTGCACAGGATAGAGTGGTATGGAGGACTAGATTCCTTCAGTGATATCATCAAGATTGCACAGGATAGAGTGGTATGGAGGACTAGATTCCTTCAGTGATATCATCAAGATTGCACAGGATAGAGTGGTATGGAGGACTTGATTCCTTCAGTGATATCATCAAGACTGCACAGGATAGAGTGGTATGGAGGACTAGATTCCTTCAGTGATATCATCAAGATTGCACAGGATAGAGTGGCATGGAGGACTAGACTATGAGCCTTATGAGACATATAACAGCACAACATTGTAGCCCAGCTCTCTTCTCCGTTGCATATGTCGAGGAGTCGATTGGAAGATTATGGACGAGGAGAAAGATGGTCGTGTCGTTAGTGGTTATGATGATGATGATGTATTGCTTGCTGCATGCTTCTCACGTGACTCTGATTCTCGTCTACACTGTCTTTATTGTGATACTTTAACAATGTCCCAAATACATCAATGATATTCTGAATAGCGCTGTGTTCTCTCTAAGGCTAAATACTCGTAGGTTCGCGTTGTATTCTTACTCTTGAGGTCGCGTTGTGTTCTTTATCTGTAATTGCTTTGTTAACTGGTTCTAGTGTCTCTAACTGCAACCTGGCTTCTAGTGCTGTTTGGTACTAACGGCTTGATCGCTGACTCTAATATCTCTATAGTTTCCTAATATGTCTCTGTTCTCCATGGATCCATGTATCTTGTGTGTCGTCTCTGTAGCTCGATGTCTCATTTCATGTCTGCTCTCCAGTGACTGTCTTCGAGGTTCCATATGTACGGCTGCTCTCCTTCCAATGTTGAGCTGGCATCGAGGATCATTGAGACTAGTCGCTCGTCCTCTGAGTCTCAACGACTGAAGGCTTCTAGTGTTGGGCTAACATCTCTACCACTGAAGGCTGTCTTGAGAGTCAATGTGACTGGTCTCTCCTGTCTTGAGTCTTGTGGACTGAAGAATTGCTAAAGTGCTTTGTTACTCGCTATTTATACTTGGATGCTGGAATGCTAGGTATTTGTTTTCTTCTCGCTTTGTCTGATTCTAGAATATTCTAGTACGCCTCATCTTGTTTACTAGGTAGGTTGTCACGTGGGATTTGCTAATTATATCTCGATTGCATCAGATTTCATCATTCTATTCTACGCAGATATAGTAAGTAAACTGACAATTGAGGTCATAGAAGTTTCTAAAAAACAAGGACAATTGCGTTTGCTTTGATAGGGCACGACAACAAGGTATTTACTAGTACGACAAGGTTGGGTCACATGATGAAAAAATGCATTTCAAAACTTCTAGAAAGAAGGCCAAGGCCAGACAACATCAGTTTGATGTCAACAGCTAGCTTTGGCGGGAAAAGAAGATTCTGGAAAAGGGAATGTCAAGGCTGCCAAAACTTGTTGATTTTCAGTTCACCATAACTCTGCGTAATAACGCACTTCCTACAAACAAGTAATGACTTAACTCTGTTACAACATGATGATGATGATTTGGATTTATTTTTCAACCAATTTAACTTCCTTTCACAGAACAGTTTGTTGTACATATATACAGAAATTTCACGATGTTAAATGAGTTGCAGTTGTTAAAAGCGATACTGGGAAGACAATAGTCAAGCCAAGTTATTCTATCTTAAAGTTGTTACAGTATCTTGAATACTTTACTATAAATTTAGTCTTATGACTGTCCATTTATTTATTGTGCAGAAGTTCATGTAGCGGTTACATAGCTGTGGCAGGGCAGTGGTCAGCTGCCATACCTCAAGGTCTTAGGTTTCAATCTACATCAAGGTGGAACATTAAACTGACATGGACTCTAAAGTCAGCCCAGCCTAAAATGGGTACTGAAAATGTCCCAGAAAGTAAAGGTGGTCACTGGTGATGTTTACCACTTTAACAATTTAGTGCGAACTAGTTTCTACAAAATATGGATCTGGCACCATATGTCCACAGTGTGGGGGAAAAAGATATTTATCATTA